CCCCCAACCGCCGCTCAACCGACCCCCAATCTGGCCCCGCGCGGCGCCGCCCTGGTCAGGTGGAGGTGGCCCTGCAGCAGCTGCGCGACCCTGATGCCGGCATGGACGTCCACCAGTCCAGCCTGGAGAGCTTGGCGCGGCTCGCCTGGAGTGACGACGAGGTGCTGGATTTTGTGTCGATTGTGTTGCTGCTCGTTCATCGTGTTTTTGCGCGCGCGTGCGCGTGTGTGTGTGTTGTGTGTGTGTGTGTGTGTGTGTGTGTGTGTGTGTGTGTGTGCGCGCACGAGGGGCGGGGCAGGGCGGGGTGTGTGTGCACGCGCCTGTGCCTCCGCCTGTCCATGGGAGCGTCTGAGTATGGTGTGTGTGCATGAATCGGGATGCATTTCTGCCTGAGCTGGCCAGCAGCGCAACAACAGGCCCTCCAGCTTCCGAGTGTTGCGCGAACCCATGCTCTCATCCCAAGGCCGCAGTGCGCATGCAAGCAACCCCCCACACACACTTCTGACACACACACACGCACACACTCGCGCGCATCCGCACACGTATACACACACACACACACACACACGCACACACACACGCACGCGCACGCACGCACGCGCGCGCACACACACACACACACACACACACACACACACACACACACACACAAACCTCATGCCCCCGCCGCCGCCAGGTGCGCGAGGCCGTCGCGGCGGGCGGCGGCATCCGCGGCATCGTGGACGCCCTCAACGCCCCCGGCTCCGACGACGGCGTCGCCTGCAACGCCTGCCTCGCGCTCATGTCCCTAGTCCGCGGCGAGTCCGAGGTCTGCCAGTCCAACCAGTGGCACATCGCCAAGGCCGGCGCCGTCGAGGCCGTCGCGGCGGCGATGCGGCGGTTCCGGGGCAGCGTGATGGTGCAGCTGAGCGTGCTGCTGGCGTTCATACCGCTGGCGCTTGAGAACGCGATGATGCAGGCGCACATAACGCAGGTGCGCCGTGGCGGGCGGGAGCAGCCCGCCCTCCCTGCCCCAGCGCCCCGGCTGCTGCACCCGGCCCCTCCGCCTGGGCATCCCTCTCCTGCCCATCCGAGCTGTAGCCCGCGGGCTACCATGGGGTGGAATGCGGCTGCTTGTCGTGTTTGCAATGCTTGCGGCCGGCGGCCCGCCGCAGGCGTGTGGGTGCCCCCGCGAGCCGCGGCCATGCCGAGCGCCCACAGCCCGCCGCCCCTTTCTTCGCCGGCGGCGCGGCCTGCGCGTGTTACCCCGCAGGAGGCGCTGCGGGATATTGTTATTGCCCTGGATTTGCATCCTGGGGAGGTGGACATACAGACAAAGGGGCTGGTGCTGTTGGGCGTGCTCATACAGGTGGGGTTGAGCAGTGCGGTGAGGTTTTGGGGTGTCAGGGGGGCACGAGGCAGGGGATCTAGGGTTTGGGGTTCAGGGTCGGGTGGGGGGGTGGGGTGGAGGAAGGCGTGTTGGAGGGGCCGGGGCGCGGCGGCGCGCAGGGACTGGGATGGCTGCAGCGGTGTGGGTGTCACGTTTCGGGGGCCGCTTGCGCAGGCGCTCGTGGGGGCGCGTCCGGCGGCGGTGGGGTCCGTGGTCTCTGAGTCATGAAAGCCAGCCCGTAGCCAGGCAAAAACCGAACAACACGCTCCCAGGTGGAATCAGGGTCGCGGCGCGCCCGCACCTCAGCTGCGCCGCGAGCGCCTCTGCCGGCCCCGCCCCTGCGCCGCCCTCAACCCCCGACCTTAAACATTAAACCCGAAACCCTAAACCCTACACCCTAAACCCCCAAGGGCGACGACGCGGTGCACGATGCCATCCGCCAGCGCGAGTTGGAGGAGGGCGTCCCCTCGCGCGTCGTCGGCGCGCTCGCCGCGTATGGCGGCGACAGCGACGACGTGCTCTGGGCGGCGCTGTTCGTGCTGGCGGTGTTGATACGCGACAACAGCGCGGTGTTCGGCGCCGCGGCGGTGGCGGTCGCGCGGGCGGGCGGCTTGCAGGTGCGGCGCTGCCGCGGGGCCAGGCGGGGGGCCTGTGTGCAAGCAACTGCGTGTGCATTTGTGTGTAGTGGGGCGGGTGGGTGAGCAGGACGGAACCGGCCTGGATGCACAAGATAGAGCGGCGCTCGCTATGAGCGCGGCAAGGTGCACAGCCAAAGGCAGCGCCCGCCCAGTGCGCAGCGGACGCGGAGCCCCCACGCGTGCGTCTGCCCTTCGTTTGACGTCTGCTGTGTGCGTGTGATCGCGGGGCGCGCGTGCGCACGCGCCCCGGCCTCAGGTCTTGGGCTCGGCGCTTGAGCAGTACCGCGGGCGGTTCGAGGGGGAAGGCCAGGAGCCAGATGAGATGATCACGTCAGCGGGCGATTACCTCATCAACGTCCTCGCCCCCGCCGACCGCCGCCTGCGGCTGCGGCGCGCGCTGCTGCTGGCGACGAGCGCGGCGTGCTTGGTAGCCGCCGGGTACCTGGCGTGGCAGGACTGGCGGGACTGGCGCGCGGCGCGGGCGGCGGCGGGCAGCGGCGGCGGGGCGGGCGCGGGCGGCGCGAGGG